TTTGTCCAACAAAATCCCCTCAAAATCGGAAGTTGTTAACGGATTAAGAAACATTCAGTACAGATCGACATCTATTTAAAGGAACATTCACTTAAACGGTCTATTATTTAAACTTGGAACATTCAGTACAGAGTCGGACGAATAAAATCGTAAATCTATTATCGAAGTAAAATTTTGGGGAAGAATCGAAGACGTGCAATAGAGTTAAGGCTTTCGGAACAATGGAGCTTGAGACTACAATAATGTAGTTAGGCAATTCAGAAAAGAGGACATTTGAAAAAGAGCACAATGAAAAATTTGGAGTGTATACCCACGTAGATAGCCGTTCGAATGGAGCTTGAGGGCTGGAGGCGAAGCTTTACGGTTTGTGCTTGTAGGCAGGCGTGATATGCGAGCTGGCGTGCAGCGTGTGGGTTTGAATGTTGCTACAACAATAGAGTTATGGCATTTAGAAAGGAGGGCATTCGAGAAAGAGGGTAATATGGATGGATTAGTGGGAAGAAGGAGTCTTTTCGGTTGTTTTCGCTTCCATAATCAAACCCAACAAGGTAGTAATTTTCATCTTTTTCAATGCAACTACCCCATGCACATTTTTAAAAACACTACTTTCGATTTTTCAACCTTCTTTTTTATTCATTTTTCTCTTTTCTAAATTGATTTATATTTTGTTTAGTCCATTTTACATTTTGATTTAATCTTAATATTTTTTTATTTCAAAGCATGCATTTAACAGATTTTATCTTACAAATTTCGAAAATTCTAAACCTATATGTTATTTGATAATTTTGAACTCTACAATTTTGATTCACTATGTTATATTATTTCATAAAATTAAGATGTATTAAAGATTTGTTTTTAGAGTATTTTTGCCACAGATTTGTAGTGTCAGGATAGTGTTACCTATTTTGATGGGAGAGTATATTTGTCCATCTAAAATTTTACAATTCAACCTTAAYTGTCTTTTAGCCATTTTCAGGATATCTGAAGTCACTCCTCTAGTTGCCCCTACTCTTTTTTAAAGAGAAAACAAAAACCAATCTAAAATAGTTTAGATAGAGTTCTTTGAAATTTTTAAATGATAGATTTTTTAAAAAATTATTTGCAAATATGTGTAGAACAGGGATTTAAATTTTCGACATTTTAGTGGAGAACATGTGAGCATCGGTTGAGTGGGGTCGATTTTTTACCGAAACCGCAGCCGAAACTGACTAGCTACCGAAAATCGACAAACCACAACACTGTTTTTTGGCCGTCGGACCGAACGGTCGGTTTTGTTGGTTTTAATTATTTTTTTCCACTTTTTGAATCCRTAGTGAAAATTGGAAGCCTCAAATCTGTGGGAAGAAACGAACAATAAGATGGAGAAGAAGGGGCCAAAGGGGAGGGAGTTCTAACCACTGTAAAGGGACGGCGAACAGAGGAAGGTGAAGTAGCATGGGYGGTGGCATTGCAAGAAGGAGGGAAGGAAAGATCGTGGGTGGGCGGTGCAACAAGATGGAGAAGAAGGGGGAGGTGAGCGTCGACAATAATGAAGATTGAAGAAATTTTGAAGAAGAGATGAAGGGGGTGGGTCGTGGACGTGTGACACAAGAAGATGGAGAAGAAATTTTAGGTATTATTTAATTTTTAGGGCTCCAGTTTGTATAATATTAAAATACTTGAAATAATATAATATTAAATACTTGAAATAATATAATATTAAAATACTTGAAATAATATAATACTCAGTCGGTCAGTYGGGTTTTGAGATTTTACAACTTCCGACCGACCAACTTGTTGGTTGTGAAATATCATAACCGATCGCTGACCGTTTCTCATTGGAAACGACCAGCCGATGACCTTAATTTTGTCGGTTTCGATCGATCGGCTCGATTTTCAGACACGTTTGCTCACCCCTACTGGTCGACAAGCTAGGTCGGCCCCAACCGACTAGGCCCAAAGGCTAGCCTATAGCTGACCACCATGGGTCAATTGGATGGTCCATGGTGGACTAGCCCATGGGTCGGCCTATATTCTCGTTCATTCCATGGGTTAATGGTGACTCTCCAAAAGAGAGTTATTTGTGCGAGTATTTCATATAAATTAGCTAAAGATAGCATCATTAACACCCAATCTACACTAATTTTGTGCAAAGAATGTTATAAATTCACTACCCTCATTATTATTATTTTTTTTGCTGATAATACTGAGAGTTATGAAGAATGACCTAATTTTAAATGTTTTGTTGCAGCATTGTTGATGTTGTAGCATCGGAAGTAAAAAGGTAGAAAAAGACAGAGTTGACAGTGACAACTTTTACTCGAGAAATTATTGTAGTAAAACGGATAAATACATGTTATGCTGAGCTGGGACCCACTTTATCATTTGTGTTGCTCTAAAATCAAGAGGGGTATAAAAGCTTGCATTTGAGGGGTGCCTCCAACATTCCTCATCCTATCACTTCACTCTCACTTCAAGAATAAAGCTCCCAAGAAACCGTTGAAACAGACAACAAAGAGAGAAGGGTTTATGTTATTCTTCATTTTCTTCTTCTTTTGTACTCTTTAGTGCACAGGTTTTGTATTTTCTTCTACCTTTTTCTTGTATGACATTTAGTAGCTAAGTTTATTTGTAAGGGGGATGATGTTGTGAGCTTGTTCTTAGGTTGTAAACTTTGTTTTGGCTTTATGATGATATATATACTGAGTTGAAGTTGTTTTTAACGTTAAATTTTCAATATTCTTGGCCAACATATTGGGATATCTTCTTATTAACTCTTGGAAAATTGTAATAGGAAGTGTTTGACTTCAACTCGTGCTGATCTACTTGAGTTTAGAGTGTGGGTACTTATGAATAAGGCTCACCTAGCAAGGTTATAAAATGAGTAAATATGTTGTCAAGTTTGTCTAAAAACATGAATAGTAGAAAATCTGGAAATCTTAGGAAGATTTTGTGTCTGTTTGGCCAGTATATCAACATCGATAATGTTGTAGCATCGTTTACGCTGGCCCAGAAGAGGTCACATAAACTCTTCCCCTTACYCTTGTTACATCAGTAGTTAAATCCTATTTAATTCAATTTCCTAAATTCAAACTGTAATCATCTATTTTCTATTTAGTTAGTTAGTAAGCTTTTTATGCACTATTTCATTTAAATATCAAAGTCTTTGTATTCAACCATACTTTTGCGAAGCTTATTTAGTTTTCTTAAGTAAAATATTGGAGTGTTTAGTTATCAATCTCTATGGATACGATCTTTTTATCACTTGCTACAACGATTATGTACACTTGCACACAAGGGTTCTAAGTCGTACAACAGCTAATATTCCCAATCCAACTACGCAACCTAGAGGCACGCCTTTTTACTCGATGATTCTCACAACTATTGAGGGATCAGGCCTTCAAGTTGGTAAAGCCTAAGATCGAAGGGATTCAAAAGGAGAAGATAATAGAGAATCATTAGGTACTCCTCTACTATTTTCTTTTAGTACAACATCATTCGAATTCAAACTCACGATCTTTTGATCGAAGATAGACGTTTTAACCCATTAAGTTAAGCTCAAGTTGACAGGTCTTCCACTACTTTAAATAGAAAAGGAAGTCTCATAATCAAGGTAGGCAACAAAACTCTAAATCTTGCTACGCTTCATACAAACCTTATTCTGATTTGAGCATTAGAGCATGTGTATGGCTAGCATCACACCAGTGTGTGATCGTTCATTGTTTTGTAAGCTAAGTTGAATCCCTTTGTACCAAAGAGAGTAGTGCAAATTTGGTAGTTTACATATCAAGAATAACAAACTACTCATTACTTAGATTTGATTAATTGTATATGCTTTTTTAGCGCTTATTTTTGTAATATTTTATCTAAATTATRTTAGTTTGTAATATTTTTGTTTCTTGGTTCGTGTTTTCATATGGTAATTGTTTCATGTTTTTTTTATTGAAAAATAAAAAGAAACGTGTGTTAACTCTTTCTTGTTTCTTATTCTCTAAAATTTTAAATTAGAAAAGTAAAAAATTTATGTTTTGGAAATAACTAAAAACTAAAAAAAAAAATTTGATTTTGTAGTTTACAAAGTTCCTACACAATTTTAGAAACGTTTCTAAAAATAAATGAGAAACAAGAAACAAAAGTAGTAACCAAACACTTATGTTTTTCAAAAATTAGAAACAAAAAATAAGAAACAAGAAACGAAATATTACGCGCCTTAAGGAGCCTAGTTTCTTGTGTCGTTCAAAATTTTGAACACTATTACACTAGGAAATTAAGGCACCAACGTTCCTATTTTTTGTTTCTTGTTTCCAATTTTCTTAAGAAATCAAAGCATTTTGCAACTAATTTTGTTTCTTGTTTCTCTTTTTTTGGAACATTCTCACAATTATATAGAAATTTTGGAGACAACCAAAATAAGTTTCTTCTTATTCTCATTTCCAATGTGTTCCAAAATATAAATAAAAAATTGTTTTGTCATACTTAAATTCATGAATGTTAGAACCATGCAATTCATTTTTCTTTATTAAAAATTAAGAAACATAAACAACAAACATCAACATTACCAAATGGCCCTAATTTTTTTACATGGTTTCACCATAATTAGTCACACACTTTCTTTTTCTTTCTATTTTCTACTTGACCTTGAATTCAAATACACAATTTAGCTAGTACAATAAACTAAATTGAAAATACCAACCGGTTGTCATGTTTTGTTTGGATGATTACTTAATTAAAATAACAATTCATTTCAATTTGAATAGACTAATGTGGTATATATTTTCCACATTGATAGGAGTACGTCTATGTTTCTGTTTTACGAATATAATATTTTTTGGAATACATGTCACATATTCAATAAAGTAGTCTAGTAACTTATAATAGCAGTTAAGACCTCTAATATCATATGAAAAACCCAATTATACGGGTCAAATTAAAAATTTTAAGACTAGCTAGGAACCAAATTGGTAATTTATACGCTCTTTCAATTTTCATGTATAGTTTTCTATATATATATTGAGTGTTGATTTAAAAGAATGAAACTATAGCTAATATTTAAATTAACCTTGATATCATCATTCTTACACTACATATAATACACTCCTTCCTACTAAATTTGTAAGTAAAAAGAAAATAAAAAATTCTAAGCAGAATGTTGTACAAGTTTAAGAAGTTGAGATGAACGGCCTGGATTAATCTCTCTGACGAACGTGTCAGTTTCATACAAAACGACACCGTTTCATTCAACTCTATCAAAGGAAAAGTCCTTGTGGCCACCAATATCGATCGCATGCTGAGTGCGGGTTCGCGGTTGCTGAATCGGGTCCAAATGAACCGAACCGGGTTCAACCGGATCCCTGTCCAAGGCACCCAGCTCGACGTGTGGCTGTGACGAAGACGAACCATCAGCATGTCGAGAGGGGGAGGGCGAGTCGTTGTCCTTGTCCCATCGATCAGCGTCGTAAGGAGACCTTCTCGGCGACGTGTGGAGACTATCTACCTCGCTCTTGTAATGTCGTAGGAGATGGACCGGCGACATGTGGTGAGTCGGAGTGGCAGGTCGGCTCGATAACGGGGTGATCGAACCGTGATTGTGTTTGATTTGCTTTCGAGCCGAGTGGTACCAATTGCGAAGAGCCGCTGCCACCCTCTCATTGAATATGGTTGGCTTCATTGTTGAACCCATCTGATGTGTACACAAATTTTAATGGTCATATTGATTCTTTTTTATATTATGTACTAAAATCTCGGAGTAAAAACTCTGCCTCTAAAAAGAATATTTTAGTGGTATATTTTTAGATTTTTTATTTAAATCTTAATATCTAGTTTTATAACCATTTCATTTCTTTATATAATCACATTTTAACCAAATTTTAAAAATAAAAAATAAACGGTTGGAAACTATATATGTATATATTCGAATATAGCTTAAACGAGACAAATAAATACATACATAGAAATCATGGTTGAAAACTTAATTCTCAAAAACTAAAGCCAAGATAATTATCAAAACAAGGCTGTAATTTTTATAATAATAATAATATTTCATTCATTAAATTTTTTTTAATTGTATTTAACATAAATTTTAAAAATTTTAAGTCTAAAGTAGAATAATTGAGATTAAATATATAGATTAATAATATTATAAGAGTATTTACCTGAGTGACCAGTGCATAAAGAGGCAAAGTAACATAACTGCAAAGGATTTGTACAATCACCCTGACATTCATAATAATATGAGACCAATCATGGTTAAAATTTATAAATAATAATAATAATTACAATAACAATAAGAAAGGCAATACAAGAAAAATATTGAAGTAAAAGTATATTATTTTCCAAAATATTACATCAAATACGACTTGCAGATTTAAACCTACCAACTCCTAACAAATTATTTTTTTAATTATTAGGTTGTTTTTTTTAACCGTACCCTTTAAAAAAATGAAGGAACTGTTTACAATATGAAAATGAACAGTGATATATTATATTTGGATTTATATAATATAAGTATATGTAAACATACCCCATTGAAATTCTGATCACCACGTCCTCCAGGTGCTCATGGAAACAAGATTTCAACCCGAATTCATACTGAAATTAAAAAATAAAAAATAAAAAAAAACATCAACCCAAGATTTAATTTAGCTATACGTGTGTTCATACTGCACCAAAAATAAATTAATTATACATCATCAAAGTTTGTACATTTGCAAAATATATATATATATATTTGTGAAAGACTAAAGTAACCTTTTATGTGTACTTGACACAAAAAAACAAATAAAAAAGTAAACGTTCAAGAATTGAGAAGTGGAACATTTAAAAATTTAGAAAGAAAAAAAAATAGAGGTAGTATAAAAAATGGAGGGAAACAAGATTAAAATTTAATATAATAAAAAGTTCAAGGGATAAGATTTTGCAATCAAATAATCAAAATTTTCATTTTGTCCTTGTATTTTTAAAAATAGATAAATTATTTTTAAAATTTGATTTTCCTATGTGCAAATTTTTAACACAAAATTTACCTACAGTAAAAATTCATTAATATAAATTTACAGCTACATTTTAAGAAATTTAACAAATAGAATGTGTAATATTAAAACAATGATAGAAAGAAATGGGATACAAATAAGAAATGAAGTAACAAAAATGACCATTTTATTAAAGATAGAGACTAAGATAAGTGCTAAAATGGACGTTTTGAGAGTACATCAAAGCTTTAAATTTCGATGTCGATGGAAATATCGAGGTCTCAATTTCGTGAAATCGATTGAATTATCGATAAATTATCGATGTCAATCGATATTTCTGAAAAAGTTATCAAAATAAAAATCTCGAAAAAATATTTAAATTAACAAATAATTATTTCATTTATAAATAAGGTAAAATGATTAATATTAATATTATGTCTATATTAGTGAAATTTTGGTGATACTTTTCATATTTTGTCAATTTTTTTATATAATATTATGGAAATATCGATTTACCCTCGTGTCAATGTCGAACACATAAATACATGAATATATCGATGGACATGTCGACATGTCGATTTCATAGAACAAAATAAATTAAAGTAAAAAATACAAATCCCAAAATAGTGTTTAAACTTCAATAGAGTAAAAAAAAACATAATCCCGTTAAATGATTCGTATTTGGTTTTCAACTTTTAAAAATTAACCTCGTAAACACTAGTTTGAAGGACATCGTTTCTTTGTTTTGTATCTACATTTTTCATACGGTTTAAAAAGCTTTTAAAACTTAGTTAATAATCAAATGTATTTTTCAAACTACAAGCAAAACATCATAATTTTAAGAAATAAGAAACTAAAAACGAAATGGTTACGGGATGGGTCGGAGTGACGTACCCAAGTCCAGGCAAAGAAGGCGACTTGGAAGGCATTTTGAAAGAGGACAAAGTTGATGAGGTAAAGAACGAGGCGAGGGCGGTTGAACCAGAAGAGGTCATCACCGGGCTCCACCACCGGCACTCCCTTCACCACTTCCCCTCTCTCCTGAATTCTCAGCGCCATCTTCGTTATGATCACCTGCAACTTCGTCCCAATCAGCAGCAGAATCTGCCAAAACCCACCAAAATTCAAAGTTTTCCTATTAATTTCACATCTTCTTCATTTTCCCACATCCAAAATGCAGATTAAGTGCACAGTTTCTTACGATCAGCGGGATGAATGGCAGCCACAGGTACGCCCTCCAACCTGTTCGACGAAAGTCCCCAATGAACACTCGGTCAGATATTATGCACAACTTTGAAAACCCGTTTGTATTTTGATTTTTTGTTTTGCATTTCTGTTCTATGTGTTGAGATTTTTTATTAATAATTGGTGTTTTAATTTGGTTGTTGACTCTTACCGTGGGTGTTTGAGAGAAGAAACAGCACCGCAAAGAACCAGATTGGCGGGCTGTGGATCCAACCCAACAAATACTTGTTAACTAAATTAATCAAATATATAATCAAGACAAATCAAGAATGGTAGATGAATTTTCAATACATTTTTGTGGGAATTTACATAAATGTTTATTGTATTTTCAAATATATTCAAAAGTTTAAAATTAAAAAAAAAATTATCATAATCCAACTCAAACTCAAAGGACACACTAAGAATAGTCAAACTTTTACTATGTTTGAAGAAAAAAAAGTCATTAATAATTTTATGTATTTTCTCTATATTTGTTATGCTTTTTTTTTCTTTTTTTTAACAAATCTAGATGACTTTTAGGAGAGAAGTAGAAATGTCTTAACCACTAAGATATGCTCAAACAAGTATATTTTCTTACGAGATCACTGTCACATTTTTAATGTGTTAGATCTATTTTCAATCTAATAAATTTCAATTTTTTTTAGTACAATATGTAGAGGTGGAGATTTGAACTCATTTTGATCGGAGATATATGCCTTAACTTGTTGAGTTATGTTCAAGTGATTTTTATTTTGTTTTTTAGAGGATATTACATCAACTAATTAAATTACTGTATAGAGAAGTTAGGGTAGGTCATTTTTATTATTTAATTGATAGACAGGACTAAAATATACACTATTTTCAACTTAGTTAATGACAGCAATTAAATTGATTAGAGAAAAGAATCAATACAATGTCGAGATGAAATTAAAAAGTGGTCCAAACAATTGAAAATAACATGCATAACAAAATTGTAATGAATTAATTATGCAACACTGACCTGATTCCCACAACAACTTTGAAGTCCTCTTCAAGAGAGCGATTAATGTATTTTTGGAAGTCAAATTGCGTATGGCTTTGAGGTGCCAAATGTGCCTGTATTTAATTAATTAATTAATTAATTAATTAAAAAAAACCCAATTTTTCAATGGCTGTATAAAGTCAAAATAAATCAAAGAAACTAATTAATTACCATTATAAACCCATGTCGCAGTGTCAAATAATCAACTTTTGGAACCGATCTTACAAATTGCCTGAAGAAACAA